TCTTGGCACCCCGGAGCACCCACAGCAACCTGGGGCAGGGCAACTGGGCAAGGCAGAGCGGGCAGGCGGGTGGGCAGCGGGGAACGGCACCCAGCACGGGTTCTGCAGCTGGAGGTCAAGATGGTCTGGAGGTGGGGGGATGAGCATGAGGAAGGTGAGGGGTGGTGGGTTCCCCTGCCTTCCCTGGAGACCCAAACCACGTCTGGGAGCTGGGGCTGGAGCTGGGTGGGTGCTGCCAGGCGGGGGGGCACGGGGTGCGGGCAGAGCCTGGCACAGGGGCAGTGCTCAGCACACCTCCTCCTTGTAGTTTCAGGCAACACAGCCCCCTTCTTCAACATGACCTTCGTCTACGTGCCTGAGGACCTGGAGCTGGGTGAGTAGGGCAGCCTCAGGGAGACCCCCGGGGTGCAGGAGGAGCAGCCAGGGGTGCTCTGGGCAAGGGCTGACGCTGCCTGTCCCCAGGCCAGCAGGCTTTCCAGCTGACGGCTACTGACATAGACGGGGACCCGCTCACCTACACCATCAGTGGGCCAGAAGCCTTCTACTTCTCTGTCGATGGCCACACTGGCATCGTGACACTGAGGAACTCCCTGGACCGTGAGGTGAGGACAGAGACTGGGACAAATGTCCCTGCCTGAGCTGGGGGAGCTGGGGTGACAGGGATGGAGTGAAGAGCCGTCAGACCTATGGAAGAGCTGCTTATGGCAGTACTGTGGGTCACTCCCTAGTCCCAGAGCCCTGCTCCAGGTGGGAGAGCTGTCTGGGAGGAGCACCCCACCCAGGGGTGGTGGGTAGGAGGGCATCAGGGCTCAGCCATCCAAGGATCCAGCTCTGCCTTACTGAGCCCTTCCTTGTGTCCCTCCAGCTCCTGGCCAGGCTCACCATCATCGTCGGGGTGTCCGATGGGACGAACGAAGCGGTGAGTGCCAGGGCACGAGCTGCGTGGCTGCAGCGGGTGACGGGGAAGGGAGCAAGGTCTCAGTGGGGCTGTGCCTGAGGCTGGGTGGGGAAGGGAGCTGGAGCTGGCCTTTGCCCAAGGGTGGGTGATGCTGGTTTTAGAGTCGGGGGATCGCAGGGTGCTGGAGCTGCACCCAGCTCTGCCAGGTACCATCTCCCGCACTCACCCTCTGCCCTCTCTGACACGTGGTAGATCTCCAGAAAGCTCACTTTTCGCGCCACCCTCAACCCCCCGCCTCTCCCCTCCCCTGCCGTATGAAACCTCCATCTCCGAGGTACCTCCCCGGGACCTCCCATCCCCTGTGGCAGCAGGGCAGGGGTGCTGGGTGGCTCCTATGGCATGGGTGTGCCGGCAGCGGGACAACGGTGTGCCAGGGACGGGGTGACCCCATTCCTGGGCATGCAGTGACAGTGGGCGTGGGTGTGGGATGGTGGTGCAGCCGGCAAGGCTGACCTGGGAGCGCTCCATGACGGGGCAGCTCCCAGAGGGCACCGCTGTGGCAGTCTGAGGCGCTGGCATGTGGCTGGGACTCTGCCCCGGCGATGAGTTT